CATCGCGACAATGGGCCTGCAGCTTTCACTGTGCATATCAATGATGAATAAATTACGGGTTTTCTAAAAGTGTTGCACTTTAGTGGGCCATCAAGGGATGACCATGATGGTAATAACAAACATTTGTTGTTAGGATATATAAGACTTTGCGATTTCGTACATGATTTTACTCACGGTTCACACGAAGGTCTATTTTTTGTCGAACTTTGAAAGTTTGATGAAAAAAATCTTGTATTAAGTTGTAGTTCTTCATTTATCAAACCTCCATGATCAAACAGACTGTCATTTTTGAAACGGGATCAAGAAGTATTTCCCTGTAGCCCCCCTGCGTGTGTCCGAATGGCCACAAATGTTTTTACCGTGAGGTGCGCAGATACGAGTATCGATCGTCGGAGGAAAGCTATACTTACCGTTTGGTCTTTCCAGGAGGTGGCCTTGTCTTGCCGTCTTGTTTGTTTTGGCCTGTTTGTTCTGGTTTATGTTCAATTTCGACTATTAAAAGTTACCATTTTGCAAGCATTTTTCAACAAGCTGTAACCTGCGACTTATAAAATTAAAAGATGTTTTCAATGACGAAACATATTCAAGCCGTTTGACGCCACGGCCATATCGATCAGGAATCGATATATAGTAAGCTAAAAATAATATGCCTGATGGTATCTAGTACAACAGACCTCAACAGAATGCATATGTATAAACACAATGCAGTTATCTCCACACTACTAGTATGTTAGTAAGAACAAGTTGTGTTAGGACAAAATATCGCCGGCAACAACTACATGTACTAGTATTATCAATGATAATACTCTGATTCTGAAAACTTCGGAAGAATCAGCACGCAGTATTCCTCCTCGCATCGTGCAGTTTATTCCACGCACCTTTACATTTGTATAAAATAGAAAACATACACAAAGTTAATCATATGTTAAAAGGGTATCTTGTTTGATTTTATTCTTTTTGAAAATGGGTGATTTTGTTACCAAGCTAGTATTTCAAAAGGCTTGGTTGTAACTTTTATTCGGTGAGAACTTTCGACGGGACAAAACAAAGCACGACGCACAATGGACTCCCTGTGTTATAACGGCATTTCAAACAGTGTTTCCAGCGTTTCCAAGTTGCAGACCTAAAACGGTAGCGGATCTGGGGACCGGACGAAAGCTAAAAAGGCCGTATCTAAGTGGTCAGAAAATCTTCGCAGCCTTAATAGTCTATTTCGTGACGTCGTCAGTAAGACAGAATTCCCAGCACTTGAGTGTAGCGAAAGTTGTGCCGTCGCCTTTGATCTGATGCCGACCCGCGGTTGCTTCAGAGTTCATCAATCAATTTTGACAGGACCGGCGCCGTGGTGTCTGAGGAGACATGATCTGTCCAGAGGCGTATGTGATTTCAGAGCTGTCGTGTGATTTTGGACTCCCATTCCCTTAAAGACCTCAGATTTTTATTTTTTGAAAACCACTCTTATCAACAGAGTTTATCACGAGATGTTTGTTCAATAACTGATTGACTTCATACCAAGGACGTTATAATGGTTACATCAACGTCCTTGTTCATACGACAAATGTGTTTGTGGTCTTTCCTCCCCGTAAGCAAATATTCAGCTCGCTACCGAACTTTCCCGACCAAGATCGCAGTATTTCGGAAGGAGACCATACAAATTGATTGGTTGACGATGTACGCCGAATACGGACGAGAAAATATGGAAACCGAGATCACAAAAATTACCCACACAGCGGCTGACGTGTTGCGTGTGTCGGAAACCTAACAAAACACACTGTAATGTTTGCGATTATTAATATTACAAAATCTGACACATTCATACAAACATTCATTATTTCGCGGATAAAATCGACCCGTGAAGCTTGTCGTACCGCCAGACTTACGTGCTGCTTCAAAGTTACTGCATTTTCTGCTCAACAATGGATAGCTTCGTGGACAGTTTAGATGTTACGTGCGATCGCAACAATATCGCCAGGTTATCGCTTTTTGGGAGGACATTGACAGGACCAATCGCTTCTAGAACGCTTCCATGAGGGTCTGCATGCCTTTTTTCGTTAACCGTTATGGGGTATTTTAATTTACCGTTAATCGTTGCCGGCCCGCTCTAATTCAACGTTAAGCGTTATCAGTATATTCCTCGTGAAGCGTTATGGGTCGTTTTAATTCAACGTAAAACGTTATTTGTCATCCTGAATTCAGCGTTAAGCGTTAATGAATAATTCTTCGTTACGCCTAATTTTGCCTATCAAAGTGCAGGAAAATGCGTCATTGAAGGTTTAAAAATACAAATTTTCCCGGGGGAGAATGCCCCCGGACCCCCCTACATTGCTCGCGCTTCTCGGTCCCTTCGGCTCTAGCCAGAACCAGTTTACCCTTCAATTTCCGGAAGTTTGCGGAGAGTTACAGAATTTTTTAACGAATCCGTCAACCTTGACAGGCAAATTAACAAAAATCTCGAGTAAAATGTGAAAACATCAGAAGGACCGACAAACACTCTCAACACCATGATTTGCCTCTCAAAATGCGGGAAATTGCGTTTTTGAAGGCTTAAAAATCCTAAATTTCCCGGGGGAGCATTCTCAAAATCCATCGGTAAAACTGGGCAGACTGAAAAAATGCAAGCTGGCCGAAGTCGACTCGGACACCCCGGTATTTGTGGACGCACTCGGGGACCAGGGCAGGTGGGAAACACAGGGAACACATACCTTTAATGCATGCTTCATTACATGTAAGGTATACGTAATTTTGTCAGTGATCACCTTTTCTCTGAGCGAGATACCAAATCCAGTGCAGCTCGAAAAAAAAGCCTGTCAATTTACCGTTAAGCGTTGCCGACCGTCCTGAATTTACCGTTAAGCGTTATCGGCCCTGCTGAATTTACCGTTAACCGTTGCCAGGACCCCCCCATGCAGACCCTCTTCCATGGCAGGATTATCCTTTGTTGTCGACGGAGGTACTAACAATAGTATTGTATGCCGGTGTCAAGTTATATGTATTTACCGCAAGGAGCTTTCGCTCCTTGAGTACCGTCGGCGGTTCTATAAAACTGGCGCAAATGATCAGTTCACGGGAAATGTATCGAGTGCGTCGCCGATAAAATCGACGTTTGTCGCTATTTTCTGAAAACAACGCAATTCCCTGTTCGCTAAGGAGACGGATGATTTCAAGCTCCTTTGACGTACCAAGGAAAACATGGAATCATACGTGGAGAAAGCAAACGCTGACTCCACGCATACGCTGTTTGGTGGCTTTGTGCCACTTCGAATCAAAGGGCTTTGGCCGGCCGCGTGTCACTCGCCGGTCGGCCCGGGAACGCGGTGCGGGGCGTGATTCTCGTAGACGCGCGAGTTTTCACAGCTGATTAAGGGATGTGTTTTTGAAACAAAGGGGAATCATAACAGAAAGTAGCGTTAAGGGAGCGTTAAAGGAGCGTTTGAGAACCGATAAAGAAGCGATAGCTAAGCGTA